TGGTAGCTCTCCTATCCCTAGGCCACGTGTCTGCCGCATCCTGTGGACCGAACGCCTGTATCCAATTCGCAATCACTGGTGGATTCCGCTGTAACTGGGAAACTGGGAAGTGCGGGTCCGGTCCATTTGGTCTAACCCCGACCGACGTGGATTGGGCTTGTTGACAAGACATCCAGTTGAGTGAGATATAATGTAACCTATACATGCTCCATTTCTGTTGTCTTAACTCTGTTCATTCAAGAGCCACCATCTTACCGTTCTCCCGTGCGGGTGTGGTAGCTCTTCTATCCTTGATCCAGTATCTGATGTTTCTGCATCATGGAGGCGCCATACCGGCACGAAACACGCCTAGTTGTTGCGTTTGTTGTTTCCCTGCCGGCTTCACAGAACATTGAGCTGGATGAAAACCATATTTTTCTTGAGAGTGCTCGTTCGAGGAAGTTAACTTGATGCATGAGCACCGCTCTTGGTCGTCAGCTTATTTGAGTCAAGTAGTCTGTCCAACAAAATAATTCTGAGGTCGGTTCGAAGTCAAGTATGCTGCCAACAACGTATTTGCATTTGCGTATGATCACTGGGGTAAAGGAGGGGTCTCGTGGGAGCTTGGGAAAGGTTAACTCTGTGATTGAGACTGGTAATGGTACTTCTAAAGAAGTGGTAAAAAAGAAGATATGCTATAATTGGCGACGAGCTGGGAAATGTCGCTTTGGTAGGTCTTGTAAGTTTGCTCATACCGACTTCAAAGATGGTACAGCCAGTGGTCCTCCTAAGCCTCCTATTGAGAAGTCCTCCGTCACCGTTAGTTCTGTTGAAGTATCCCCTAAGCAGCCTGAGGTTAGGCAGTCTGAAGAGACTGTGGAGATTATTCAGCGTTTATTGAACATTGTGGATGATGATCCCTGTGTTGTATGTGCTGTTTCAAAGACTAAGGAGAAATTAGCTGGCCCTACTATCAGTATTCCCCTTGGTCAGGGTAAGATATTGTCCGCTCTCCTGGATACGGGAGCTTACTATAATTATATTTCTGCATCGCTTGTAGAAAAGCTTGGCTTGGCTACATCTAGTCGAGGAGTGTCTGAGTCATTACGGGTTACTCTGGCCGATGGTCCTGTTCGACAGGTGGTGGCTGTGGTCGATGTTGCCAAAATCCAATTTAGGGTTCTTCAAGGTGGTCGAAATAAGAATGCCATCTTGGGTGTCAGAGTATGTGTGATTGTGGAGTCACGTTGTCTTTTGGCGTGAACAGTGAGTCTGAGCGATCGGTCATCGTAAAAGTGAGTTGAAGCCATTAACGACCAATAGTGAAGCGGGTAGTGATCCAGTGAATATCGTCAACGAAGACTTTGATGATGGTCTCAGTGATATCTACCAAGTTGAAGCTGAAGATGACCC